GTGTGTGTGTGTGTGGTCATTGTACCTCACACTCTTTCTTTATGCTACTTTTCTGACTAACCTCACATACTTGCCTCCACCTCCAGTGTGGGGGGAGGAGAGATGGGAGTAATTAGTCTCCTTCAACTGTAGAAAGCCAACAGAGGGAAAGGATAAGGCCTGGTTCACTGTCAAAATGTCACCTAATTAAATTCCACAACATCATTTAATTGGCATCCATAGCTATACTGTGGCCTCCATTAGAGCTGACCTGCACCTCCTCTAAAAATGTAATTGTGCATCAAGGCTTAGAAAGATTGATGTTGAGACCATAAGAACAGTGATAAGCTTTGGCTGTTTGTGTAAGGTGAGGCTGGTAGAGATTGTTCACAGTGTAGACAACATCAAGGAATCTCATTTTCTCATTTTCAGTAATACTAGACACAATCCCACTTCAAACCTCCTCGTGGCAATTGAATAAAAAAAAATTAACTGCAATTTCTTTGGCTATTAAGTGCACAACAGTAGGCCCATTTTCAGTATCTGGGCAAGTCAGACAGTTTGATCATGCATGAAGCATTCATCTACGGTTGCAGTGGTGCTACGATTTACAATTTGTTTTTATGTAGGCTATATGAGGATTGGTGATGTATGTTGTGATTAAGTGGTTTACAAATAGATCAAGTTATTGATAATGGGCGATATGTTTATCTAACCATCTTTCTCTCCTCTTTTTGTCTCCATCTTTCTCTACAGTGCCAGAGCATACCAAGTGAAGGCAGAGTCCTAAATCTGAACCACATCCCCCCCTTCCCCCTCCCCACACATACACCTGTACACACACAAACGCTCACGCATACAGTCTTCAGCAATGCCAAGGGGGCCTGATCAGCCTGCTGCCCGCTCTGACAAGCCCTGCTTCTTCACCTCAGACCCTTGAGGCTGTGCCCTCTGAGCTTTGACCTTTTGACCTCCCCTTTGTCGACCTGGGAACCAGAGGTCACCTGTTCTCCACTCAACCCGGGGACGCCCTCCTGCCCATCCAGGAGCCGCATCCACAAACCCCACTCACAGGTAAACTATGAAAAGAAAGAGAAGCGCACAGGCAAAGAGCAGTGGATTACATTCAATTAGATATGTCTGTATCGTTAAACACTTACAGGCGCACTAGCGTACACCAACTGTCACTGTCTGCTGCCAGTAATCACATTCTTGGATAAGCAGGAAAACAATTTTACAATTACATTTAAATGGCAAAACGGCAGTTTGCATTAGACTGCAATACATTTGTAGAGGATGCTCTAAATGGCATCCTAAACATGATTCACTTGTTATTTAAAAACAATGCTTATTTTGACATGACATGGACTTTTTAAGTGTCTTGAGGTTGTCTTGTTTTTTAAATATGTACACATTTCCTGGTTTGCTGTAAATTTATATCACAACTGTGATATTCAGCAAAATAACATGAATTTGTTAGTGTGTAGTCATATTGTAATCAGAAACACTTAAAAGGGGAAAAAGTTTAGAATAAGAATTCATTCAGCTCAGACCAATCACTAAGAATTACACACACATAACTTATTACTTATTTTATACACTATAATCTGGATAACCAATTATAACTACCAACTCAAGCTCAGCAACTAGCAGGGTCTGTCCACTAACACTCTTCTACTTGCAAGCACTCCTTACTTTGAACCACTCTGACTTTAACATTCTTGTTTTCTTTTCCATTTCCTTGATTCTCATTGAATGTCCTATCTGTTCTAACTGTTTCTAGCATATCCCCACTGTGTTTGTTTTCTGGCTCTATCTCTAACTCCCTCTGAGTCTGTTTGACAGTCTTTCCTCTCTCTGTTTCCAGGCATGGCTCCCATTCGGGATTCCGTCAGCCACTCCCCTAATCAAACAGGTGACTACACATTGCCTTTTTCCTTCCCCGTTCTTCTGCATTTCATTCTTTCTCCCATTGTCTTACTTTGGCTTTCTGCTTTGTGATTGACAGACTAGGTAGACTCAATCTGACCTGACCTTGACAGGTGATACATTTTATTCATGGCGAGAGAGAGACTTGGCAAGCGAACACGATAAGCCCCACAGAGAGCTGGTGAACAGTTTATGTGAAAGAGAGGCTTTGAAAGTGAGACACTTTGGGTGAGAATGACCCAGAGATGGCCAACCAGTCAAGAGACTCATAGTTGGTGTTTGTAGATAGCTGGTGAAGAAACCAGAAAAAGAAAAGAAATAAGCAGTAGATGTTTTCACGATTGAAAGATTATGACAACTAAGTGTAACTTGTCAAAGAAAAGATGGTATTCAAATTATAAAGCAGTACTGAGCTGCCTCAGAGCCAATGCTGTGGGCAGGCTGCCCTTCGTATCTTAATTGGTGGGTGAGGGGGGGTGTAAGGGAAATCATTTAACTGCGGGACTCCATGTTTCAGGTGTTTGCTCACAAACTGAAAGCTAATTACTCAACTGCATAACTTAAGTTCTTCATTGAAAGTCAGTTCTTGCTGTTTTATTTTACCTTTCCTGAAAATCTGTTTAGTCCTTGCGGTGTCTCAAATGACCAACTTTGTGTCAAAAAAACTGAAAAATGTCTCTAATAGGATTAACTTCAGATCATACTTTTGGTTGTCAACAACTTTCTTTAAAGTTTATTTTACAATGAAGGCCTACTTCACAGCCACACTACCTTCACATTAAAACCCCTTTATTGTCAGTAAGTATCTCAGTGCATTAATATTTGCTTATCAAAGTAAATTAATAAAGACAAAGTCTGCTGGCAAATGCTGATAGATATGGTATTTGTGCTGTAGGGCTGCTGTAGCAGTAATAATTGAGGCACTCGCCATTGCAACTGAATCAGTGTGTGCATAATGGCCATGAAAGCAAAATCTGATCACAAGTGGCCTCTGGAGTCTAATTTTAGAGACATGCCAGGTCTGAATGCAGATGATCTCAGACAGTTTAAATATATTTGGAAGGGTTAGCAAGGTTTAAACCAAGTCTGAATCTTTTCAGTTGCCACCACCTCTTCTCCTTTGCCACTTCCTCCCCTCACACCCTCTATCGTCCCTCCCTCTTTTCACACTCAATTACCATCTCCCCAATGCCCTCCATCTCTCCTCCCCCGCTCACAGTCGTCCACCGACTCCCAGAATCCTAGTTTATAGCTTTGGCATGCTTATGGGTCCTGCTGTGGTGACAAAATGGTGGCAGCTGTGTCCAGGCTCAGGCCTGGCGCTGATCACATCCAGAACAGCCGGGCAGCTCAAGGTTGGAGGGAATCAAAGAATATCAAAGCGACTGTGAATGAGGGGAATTTAATAATCTGTTTTATTTAACATGCATACATAAACATCTGTCATTCATTTTTTTGAAGATGATGAAACAGCACCTCTGCTAAATGCTTGTGGAAATTGACTCCTTTTTTCTAAAATGTGAATGTCCAATCTGACGGGATTCCCTACCATGTCCACCCTTCTCTCTCCAGGTCTGGAGCATTCTGGCTTGGATTCTCAGTATGAGCCTTCCCCCTGGTCCTCTGGCTCTCCCTGCAGCAGTGACAGCAACAGCAACTGGGGCAAAGTCCTAGTCGACGGAAGCACCGACAAACCCAACAACCCTTCTTCAACTAACTCTGTCTGGCCTCCCTCCTCCTCTTCATTCTCTTGCTCTTCGTCTTCTTCCTCTTCTGGCTGTGGATCAGGATCAGACCCTGAGTTGGCATCAGAATGCATGGATGCAGACTCTAGCTCCTCGATCGGCTCAGAGAAAAACCTTGCTGCTGTGACAACAGTGATGATGATGTCAGCAAATGCTTCTTCCTCTGTGTCTTCTACGGCTTCTTCCCCCTCCTCTATGGTGACTTCTGCCATGATGGTCGGCGTTTCAGTGAATGGAGACAGCAATGGCAACAGTCGTCAGGTAAATGGTGGAGGGATGGGAACCATCGGCGGTGCAAGTAATGGAAATAATAACATCACCGGGCCCTCCCACTACTCCGTGGCCGGGTCCAGCAGTATTGGCAGCAATAACATGGGTAACCACAACAACAAGCCCGTCAATAACAGTAGTGTATGGGGCACCCAGTCAGGCAGCAACATGATCACCACTGGCGGAAGCACCCCTTGCATCAATGGAGGGTTAAACCCAAACACTTTAAACCCAAATGCCAACCACGGTGCCTGGCCCCAGAATCCAACCCCAAGCCCAGTGTCCCAGGGCCAACGGCCTCCCCAGGCTCCAGGGATGAGTTCCAAACTGGGTCTAGCTCCCCAACAGGCCCCCATCCTGGGCTGGGGTAGCATGGCAGCTCCAAACAGCAGTATGATGGAAGACACTGAGGTGAATAATGGTACAGCAAGCAGCAAGGTGTTAGGAAGCAGCAACAGTGGAAATGGTGGCCTACAGCCTACCAACCTTAACACTGAATCCAATGGACCAAATAACACTATTATGATGAATACTACTACTACTACTACTAATGCCACAATGACCTCTAGTCCACCAAACTCTACCGCCTCACCCCAGCTCAGCGGGGATTCCTGGGGCTCTATTGGAGGAGGGAATGGGGGTCCGCTGGCCAATGGAAACCCCTCATCAGCCACCCAGCACCCCCAAGGAGAGCTGGGGGGTCCTGGAGCCTTCGGTACGCCTTGGGGCGCAACTACCTACCCTGGAGACAAGGGCCACCCAAATGCAGACACTGTGAACCCCCAAAACCCTGCCTTAATGCAGGCTGGGAACCCCCAAATCTCCTCTACTGCTGCTTACAAGAGTAATAATAACCACAATAACACTGGGGCCCCACGCTGGGACCAGGGGCCCACCAATAACCCAAACCAGACCCAGAGTAACTTGTCCTGGGGTATCGGTTCAAATCAAATCCCAGGCTCTGCAGGCCAAACACCAGGAAATGGCAACCAAACTACGATTGGCCCTCCAGCAGGGATGCCTCGCCCATGGGGGAGCAGTGCGTCATCCTCTTCCTCGTCCTCATCATCCTCTTCCACATCTAACAACAAGATGTCAAATGGAGAATGGGGATCAACAGCTCCTGTTAACAACCATTCAGATGCTGGAAGTCATAAAGGAAGCTCTGCCAACAATGGCTGGAAGAGCCTGGAGGATGACGCCATGGGCGTGGGAGGTGGAGGGGGAGGAGGTGGGAGCCATGGATTGGCGAGTGTCACTGGAGGCTGGAATCGCTCTGGAGGAAGTGAAGGAAGCGGCGAGAGCTCCGGAGGCCGATCCAGCTCAGACAGAGACGGCAGCCAGTCAAAAGGGGGAAACCGCAGAAAGGGTACCCCCCATGCTGCACCAGTAGTGCTACCTGTGTCCAGGGGCGATGTGGACCCAAGGGTTCTTTGCAACACTGGATGGGGACAGACGCCCATACGCCAGAACACTGCGTGGGATGTCACTTCTACTTCTAACAATCAGCACCAGGGTCCCAGAGGTGACGAAAGAAAGCATAGCAGCGGAGGCTCCGGCTGGGGTACAGCAACACCGGCAGCTCCCTCCCAGACCTCTGGAGGTAGGGCTAAAACATGTATGGAATCTTAATCTTAGTCTGTAAATGCCCTTTAGTCATATAAACAAGAATATTCAAATTTAGAAGAAAAATGTCTATAAAATCTCTCCCTTTCACTCTACTTGCAGGTTGGGGGGGTGGGCCCGGCAGCTCAGGCCCAGGTACAGGAGGTTCTGGCTGGGGAGAGCGCCCAACCTCTGGGTGGGACAGCAAAGTCTCATCAAACGGAGGAGGTGGGCAGAGTGGCTGGGACAATGGATCCAGCTACAAGGGGAGCAACAACACCAGTAACACCTGGAGCAATAACATTAACAAAGATGACAGGTAATTTATATTTGTGCATTAGAAGTACTGATTACACCGATGCAGAAATAATGTTTGCATAATTTCCCTGCTTTTTGCAACCATTATTGTCTTCATTCCATATTATTGTTTTAATGATCACCTTCATTGCTTTTGTTTAGGTCCAATACCTGGACTAATGCACCCAAACCACAGCAGGGTTGGGGTTCCAATAGTGGAAATGGAAGTGAAGGCTGGGGTAATGGTGGAGATGGTGCCAGACAAGGGCCCAACAACCACTGGGGTGAGACCCAAAAAGGTGCAGGCTCGGTGAGTTGGGACAGCGACAGCGACAGATCTGGCTCTGGATGTTGGAGCGAGCCAAGCCGAACCAACACCAGCAGCAGCAACACCTGGGTAGGGAGTGGAGGATCAAATACTCCAGACCAGAACACAACAAACCCAGGTTCCCACTGGGGCGACTCAGTCCACAAACCCAGTCCTCAGAGTAACAGCCAGGGCTGGGGTGAGCCAGTTAAGAACAACCATGGAGCCCAGAACTGGGGTGAGCCGAATCCCAAGCCCTCCAACGAGTGGGGAAAAGGTCCTGAATCCAACACGTCCAGAGACAATCAAGGCCCTAACAAGCCCACAGGTAATCAGGATTATCCATCATTACAGAATCATTGTCACTGTCTAACAAGGAAGACCGTACACAACAAAACTGAATTCTAGATGTTGGTATTGTAAAGCAAGTTAAGTGGGAGGACATAAAATTGATTTCTCACTTTTTCTTGTTTATTAATTATGTCAGGTTGGCTAGGAGGCCCCATTCCCACAGTAGGTCAGAAGGAGGAAGTGGCAACTGGGTGGGAAGAGCCTTCTCCAGAGTCCATTCGTCGGAGGAGAGAAATCGATGATGGGACAGCAGCTTGGGGAGACCCGGGTAAACCCTCGGCCCACAACAAAAGTATTTACAAGAGCCGTACGAAGCCTGAATAAAATCATTGGGAATTCCAGTCTTATTTTCAGCTGATGACTCTAAATGTGATTTAAATCTTCTTTCTAGGTAAATACAGCGGTGGAGCTGTCAACATGTGGAACAGGACTGGCCAGTCAGACCAGGAGGCCATGGGCCCATCCTCTCAGCACCAGTCCCACCCACCACATAGCTCGAAGCATCCTCCTCAGCCCATGCAACCTATTGCCCAGGACAAAAGCTGCAGTTCTGGTAAGTTGAAATATGTATGGGATTCATCCAAATGTTTGACAGAGTAGACAGAGACCAGGTGAAGCCAAATTCATTGGCTGTTCTTACTAATAATATTTTTTTTGCTAAAATACATAAAGATCTACGTTATATGTATGGGCTAAATAAGCAATGAATAAACTAAACACCCCAGTTGCACCAGTAATGCAATCATTCACGCAGCTTTGACTATGAATAGACAGGAGTACATAAAATTGTGCACGTGCACACACTTCTCGTCTGCTTCTCGTGTGAAAAAAGATGATTCAAACATGGGTGAGTCACACTTTCTGCCTTTTATAGCTTAGGCCAGGTTACAACCGATTGTATTATTTACATGTTTAGCCTGCAGGGATACTTTCCTCTACAGGAAGTAAGAATGACAGTATGTCAATTGAGTTCTTATTCTGCAGATTCTTAAATAAACAGCTATGATGATCTGTGTGTGTATTTTTGCTTATTTAATATTTAGGTACATATAAAAACGCAAGGACATGAGCCAGTATCTAAAATGGTAACAGCATGTAAGCGCAAGCCTTCTGGTGCAGTCTATAAGCCTTAAGAATGGATAAAAAGGTGCAAGACCCACCCACACTCTCTTTTTGAGAGAGCTGAAATAAGGTCTTAAAAGGATTTAGACAGTACAAACACAAAAAGTGTGGATGCACACACATTCACAAATGTATTCAAAAGCATACATAATTTGCACAGAAGCCTAGAGAAAGAACAAACATGCACAGCCATTCTCTCCCATCTCCCCATGGTGTTGTCTATGTTGAGGAGGGCTTTTTGTAAAGCCGGTTGAGTCATCCCTTTGGAATTCTAAGAGCATCGATTTTTCTCTTCTCTCATTCGCCTTTTTTTTTCTCCTCCCTTTCTCTCTCACTCGCCAATTCTGCTTGCTGTAGGAACGCTGGCTTTTGTGGGTTTGAGAGAAAAGAGACCATGAGTGGTAGAGGAGGAGGTCTGGTGACTTAGTAATAGGAATGGTTCCAATGTAAGATGGGGAAAACTAAAAAGAGTAAGGCGGCTATTCTGTGGAAGTGGGCTGAGAAGGGGAAAAGAAGGGGAGGGGCTGTTAGGGTTATTCAGGGTTGCTGTGTAGCGAGCTAACTGGAGCAGCAAAGTGGATGGCAAGGAAGGGTGGGGCAAACTAGCCAGCTACTGTGATGAATAATCAGGTTGTAGATGTTGATGCATTTGATATATTTTGGGTTTATTTTTGTGAACACTGAAGTGCAGAAATTGATTAAAACAGCAGCATGGTGAAATTGAGCTCAATACAATAGATGAGTTTAAAGATATGTAACCGAACACTTATGTTATAATATTAAAATATGTCATCGTCCTTATAACATGCATGTACTACATGTGCCCATTTGTGTATATGCATCTACCTCAGCATGTCTGTTGAGCTCTGTGTGCATGTCTCTTTGTGTTTGTTATATGTATGTACTTGCATGCAAGCATACCCAGTCACATGAGGGACACTGGAGCTTGAGGCCACCCCATGATCTGTCCTATTTTTACATAGAGGTATCCCTGGCATCTCCCCAAATGCCTCCTGTGGAGGGAGAAAGTAGAAGGTCTGGGTGGTCAGCTGTAACAGGAACCTTTTGAACTCATACTTGCACTCACTTGAGCACACATAGTTTCACATTGGAAAGCATGTAAGGGCCCGTGCACACATCTACACACCTGCAAGAGTTAAAGTAAACAAAACTTGCATAAGCAGGTTGATGCAGGGTTCCCCAGAGACATGGTCAAGGCTCTTTCCTCAAGCTGAGTTCTTATTTCAGCAGAGGAAAACCTTGTCAACTCAGTGCATCATTGTAAATATGAAAATATGGCCAGGGTCCCAAGAAAGATGGATGGCATCTAATTGGGGGCAATGATGTCATATTTTCCACATGTTACCACCCACTCTCTAAACAAGCCTGATATGGCTACTGTGACTGGTGAGAGCTGTAATACCAGGATGAAAAAACATATTTTATTCATAACATATTTTAATAAAATGTCACTGCATGACACATGCAGTATCATGTGTAACTATAATAATATGTATTTGTACATGGAGGTTGTAATGTCATACTGAACAAGTATAAATGTGTTCTACCACCAACAGTTAAACTCCATTGGCCCTTCAGGATAAAAGCAGACAAATATAAAAATAATTTCCTTGTGTGAGGCCTGTAGTACGGGTCAGTGGGAATGGGAATATTGTCGTATTGTTGTTCCTGCTGGTTGTATGTTGTGTGTTCACCATTTAAGTTAACATCATGTGTTTTAAAAAAAAAAAAAAAAAAGTAATGGTTTTTGCTATATTCTGTGTATTTTAGGACTTCAGATTGGTTTGTTATAAAATGACAATGACAATAATAACAAATTAATTGAATGCAAAAAGCTATTTGGTTCAAGACAACATGACTTAAAATGAAACCTCCCTCTTTTCCTTCAGGTTGGGGCGAGCCTTACTCCCAGCAGAAGGAGTCCTCAACGTGGGGGGAACCTACCACTGCACCACCTGTGACGGTGGACAATGGGACATCTGCCTGGGGGAAGCCCATGGACACCAGCTCCAGCTGGGACGAACCCAGCAGCAGCAGCAGGAGCAGCAGAGAGTCTGGGTCTGGATGGGGCAGCCAGCACAAATCTGGTATGTGCACACTTGACCATGAATATTCCTGTACTCTTTAATGTGCAGAGTGGCAGATAGAATTGCCCTGTAGGAAGTGTAGAAAATGAGCAATAGAACTGTATGCTGACTTTCTTCCTCTGTCCCCCTTTGTAGCTCCAGGTCCCAAACCCATGGAGACATGGTGTGGTGAGGAGGTTTCCATGGGCAATAGCTGGGACCAGGAAGAGGAGGTGGAGATCGGCATGTGGAGCAACAGCCAACAGGACAACCGGTCTCATGACCAAAACACCTGGAACTACAAGCATAAAGGCTCCAACAAGGTTTGTTTGTTTACCTTAGCTTTGTATATTTTGTAGGTTTGGAAGTTTGGAGTTCTTTGAACCACCTGTGTTATGGACAGAATACAAATGTTCTGCAGACGCACTTAAAAGGCAAACTAATAAGAGATGCAACGCTGCTAAGTGCCTCCTGTCAATTGTCTTTGTCTGCTTCGTTTCAGATGAACAAACCAGTCAACAAACAGGATGAACCCTGGATGAAACCCTTCATTAACCAGTTCAACAGCATGAACTTCTCTGTAAGTACTATTCCCCATTGTTTTGCTGTCGTTCTTGTTCACTTTTAAATTCAAATACAAAAATATAAACCGTTGTTTGGCAGCCATGTAGTTCCCACCAGGAACCTTTCCATTTTGAAGAGTTAGTGTTTGGGTTGTATCCAGTTTTATTTTTATTTATTTATTTTGCATTTTCTTTACTGTTATGTTTTTCATATGTATTTTTGAATCAATGCAATATTTTTTTTTCTGTCTGTATAATCACATTTTCTTTTCTTTCCCCTTGCAGAGAGACTCTCCTGACGACTCCATGAAGACAGGAGCAGGGATGGTGCAGGACAAGCGTATGGACATGGGCAGTATGGGAGACTTCAATGGAGTAATGGGGAAGAACCCTGGGTCTCGACACCAGCTCCATAAGGAGTCTGCCATGGATCGCAGCTCTTACTATGACAAGGTATGCAGAAGCCTCCACGTTTCCCTGCTGTGCAATGGGTGGGGGTAAAGGTCACAGGAACGCCTCTTGGCAACTCGGCAACTGAAATACAGCAGGTCGGTTGCATTGGCACTTAGTACATTGTTTACAAACAACATTACTGGACCGCTTTGATTATTCTCTCCACCCTTGTGGTGATCATGAGGTAGGTGTGGAGTATAAGAGTCTCTCTTGTGTGCCTGTCTCAAATGTCTGGCTATGTAGTGCTCTCTCAGCCCTGTAGTGCCCCACAGTGGTTGGTCTAACACACTGCATTCAATGTGTGAACTATCAAAAGGGATGTTTGATTTGATACTTGCTGTTTGGGTCATTGTGTTGTGAATTAGACTGTGTCACTAATAAGCAACAAAAGTAAATTAAATATGCTCACTTTCATCCTTAATTGTAATAACATTTGGTCGTTTGCAAATGATTTGTAATTGTGCTGTAATGATTCATTCCTTTTAGATAGTTCTATACAAAGATGCAATGGGTTTGTTTTAGGGTTGGGCGATTGGACAAATACATCAGCTACCTGCGGTTGAGTCCATCACCGGCTGTTTGTTTGTTTTTTTCTTTTGTGCGATTTTTGCCATTTTATTTTGATGATTTAATGTTCTGCCTCTGAAGAATGAGAGCAGCTCGGTGACAGATTTCAGCAGCGCAGTACACACACTGAGCCGCTGAACGAGTGAGGGGAAAAAAACAGCTGTAGAACGTGTGTTTTTTCACATCTAATCTTAGAACTGTAACTCAGGAAAGATGGGGACACAGCTCAGGCCAGGAGAGGAGAGGAAAGAAGCAGGTAGAGGAGTGAGGGAGGTCAGGGGCATCAGAGAGGCAGTGACAGCGTGTAGAATATTTTCACATCTAACTCTGTTAGATGGTTTGACACCAGACTAATAAAGACAGTTTATTTTGTTTCTGTTGAGTTTGAATGAAGTGTCTTTTAGAGATTGCTTAACAACGTCTGAGTTTGGAATAAGAGAGAAACTTTCATTTAAAAGGTGTATGGTTGTATTTTCTGTTGGAGGGAAATATGTGGGTTTTTTTCTTTCTTGATATTTGGTGAGTTTATTTTTATTAAAGCTGTTAGAGCTTGTCGGGTGTTGATCTCCCAGCTGAAACTACTGGTGTGGTGCTTGCACAACACACACACGAAGGCACGACAGTGGCTGGTTAGAAAATTCTACCATATCGTCCAACCCTAGTTGGTTTGGCTTTGCTGCTTTTCCTTCTGCACTTAATGCTGCTTGTCTCTTATCTTTGTTTCAATCTTTCTGACTCCTCTGGTGCCACCTTCTCTCTTTCTACTGCACTCTCCTCTTCTCCATTGCTTACTTCTCTTCTACTGCTCCCATTACTCCTTTTACTCTTTCACGCTTTCCCACACTGTTCACTCTGGCTCATTTTTTCCTGTCCTCACATTACTTGCTCTTTCCTCCTTCTTCTCCCTCTATCCTTTTGCAAAATTAACTCTTTTCCTTCTTTTCTCCTCCCCTCTCTGCACTTCTCTGGCTGCTGATGTGCTTCCTGTCCCTCTGTGCTTGCCGTCCATCTGCTGTGCACCTGGCCTTGCTTCTGCAGCTGTCTGTTTCCCCCTCTGCTTACGATAGCCAAACTTCTGATGAGCTCTCCTCCAATCAAAGCATGAGCTTTTCCCCTTCCAATTCTGCTCAGCCTATTCCCTGTCTCAACTCTGGGCCGTCTCCTGCCCACTCTAGTCCTGGGGGCGCTCGGCAGGTGAGTGTGGAAGGATGACAAGGATGTTGTCTTTCGGTCTTGTCTTTAGTCTCAGACCCAATAATACTAAACTAAACTATCTCTTTATGTGAAAAATACAGTAAGAAAATCACATATTACACAAATGGTATTTCAGCAGATTACCCATCAAAATGTTTTTTAAAATATAATTTCCCAAATTTATCTTAACATTTCATTTTTGATTGTACTCGACCGTGAGTTTACTTAAAAGCCTGTGGTCACTGAACTAATTACATATATGGATTATTAAAAAAAAAAAAAGGTAAAAGTAAGTTTGTTGCATGTTGTTTGACCATTTGTGTGTGTTTGTGTCTTCCCTGCTCAGAATGTAAACCCCATGATGGGTGGCAGCAGCGTAGCACAGGGCCGAGGCGGCCCCCAGTCCCAGGTCCCCCCCCAACCCAACCTTCGCAACCAAGTGCCTCCACCCATCCTGCCCTCTCAGGTAGAGCACACACACACACACCACACACAACACACACACACACACACACAACACACACACACACACACACAACACACACACACACACACCAGCATTTTCTTCATGTCATTCAAACGCCATTGCATCTACTACAGTTATATGCACTTACATCTTAGGCTACAAAGTTTTAAGTCTGCTCTCGTCTCAACAATGATCTGAATGTCTCAGTGTCTTGAGGCACTTATTGTCAAGATGGCTCAGATCAGATCATTCAAATCAGACTACCTTTTTAGATGTATGTGTTTGTTTTTTTTCATACCCTCCAAGCAGCCATTGTTTTCAGTGGAGAATCAAATTGCACAATTGACAGTTAGTTACACAATACTGTCATTTCATTTTTAAATAACTGGCTTGTTGGCAAAGCTCTAGTTACCAAACATGATCGATCATTTTGTCCTTTTTTTACAATCTTATTGACCGAAATGTAACCAACATCTTGTTTGTGTTCAGGTCCCTCCATCCCTGTTGAAGTACCCAGGAGGTAACGGAGGTCTGAACCCTCTGTTTGGCCCTCAGCAGGTAGCTATGCTCAGCCAGCTCTCCCAGCTCAACCAGCTGTCACAGCTCAGCCAGATCAACCAGTTACAGGTACAGTGATGGAAACTTGAACACACATACATTAGAGGCATTAAGAAAATAACATTTTATGCATGGTTCTAGATTTATGTACAAACTCCCTACAAATGTATTTGAAGTATAAGTAAATGTTTGCTAAACTTAATCTCAGAGATACATAGTCTTAAATCTCTTTTATTATGTCTGCAGCGTCTTCTCCTCCAGCAACAGCAGCAGCAGCAACAG